GTCAGAAACAACAGTATTTATTGTAAAATAACATCTATTACAACCACTTAAGGTTCATTGTTTACCTTGAAATGCCGTCGTCAGGACTTAAAACGAATTTTGGATAATTTGAGACGTCATTAACATGCACGAAACTCGAAAATATTCAAACCGACTTATTCGAGAACAGGTTATTATGATATTCGTTACTTTAACATTTTTTTGGTAATTCCTCTTTCATACCAATTAAAAATATTTAATAATTACTTTTTCTTCTTTTAATTTTGTTTGGAAAAGTTGTTTTTAAATTAAATACGAAGATTTTATGGGATCACTTTTGAGACAACATTTTTTAGAACGCCTAAATTTTCTTTGTGAAATAGATCGCTAATTAGACTGGACCACTACAAGCACGTTAGTTTACAATATTGTTTTCAAACAACCATGAATAAAAAAAAACTAAAAAATTAAATTCAATTAGTAATTCAATTACCATTGGCCATTTCGCTAATCATCCAATTTTCTAGTTGGTCAGCGACATGCATCCATGCTCTGATTCCCCGCATTTCTATGCGAGGTCGCGCGCACCGGTTCAAGGCTGCCAACTTAATAAACTAATCAAATTACCGCGCCATAGACACGCAGGACTTTATTATGTCGTGGATAATTATTTTTTTGGGTTTTTAGATTTTACGATAAATCTGTTTCATTTTTTTATCCACAACGAGGAAGCTCTTGGCATGCACATCTCACCTGAACGAACTGGGAAACGATCAAACTTTCTTTAAAATGGTTTTATTTACTACTGACGAAATATTTGCACCGTTTTTATGTGTAGGTATAGAGCTTGATTTTAATTTTCTGTAGTAACTAAATTTTTTAAACACTCAAGCCTCTTATTAATTTTATTTCATTAATAAATGTACGAGGTTTTTGTAATAATCTGTAATTGTTAAAATTGGCTCGAAACATAATTAAAATATTTGAATAATTTTATTATAAAAATTCCTAAGTGAGATGCAACCAAAACTTTATCACTAAACAAACACAAACAATTGAATAATTATAATGCAATAAGAGTAATCAGGAAGGCTAACAAGGTCTACTTGAGGTCAGGTTAAACAATTCGTCTTAGTTTAATGACCATTTTGTTGCTTTGGAATCTTAAAAGGTTTATGTAAGAAGTTGGAATAAAATAAACATTATAATTAAGGGCCTGCTGGTGTACAAATAAGTTACAAAAGAAATAAACGAATTTATTCATATTTTATGAGCAAAGGGCCACGTAATTTAAAATAAGTTTTCAGCTGTTTTGGTTAAAGATGTGTGTAATGTTAAAGGCAATTTTCGTTTTGATTTAATTACATAAATAAAACACTGGATACCTGCTTATTAGTTATTTTACAGCAAAATGAAATAAACACGCGATTCAATTGACTTTTACTCCCGAATTTTCATCTGTCTTTTCTAAACCGAAACTGGGTAGCAGCATAAAGCCATACCTACATTAAGTACAAATATTTGATGATTCACATTTTGACGATAACAGACTCCAAAAGTTAAAAGTTAAGTTAAAGGTTAAGTTAAAAGACTTCATGGAAAAATAGTTCTTTTCTCTCCTATAACGCATTAGGTACCTACTACAGACCTGTAATGGGTGACTGACCTAAAAGATAAGATAACGCAAAATCCTAAGTCTGCTTGCTACATTTAAATATCATTATTTATTTTCCCTTCATGTTGGTTTGTACTTCAAGACAAATAGAGTGTTAGCAAGAGTAAACACAACACAAGTAATTTAACAAAAAAAGTTTGGTGATTTTTTTTATCCTTTCATAATTAGCAGTTTTACTAAAATCCTGAAATAGATATTTTCCTGCGACTGCATACTGGAATGACAGATGTTAAACTTTATTACCAGTCCTTAGGGTTCAAAATTGATTATGAATGCAAACTCTCTTTAAAATGGTAATGAGGCAACAGATAGACACTTTTTACTCCATACAAAACCAAATTATGTATACATCATCTGTGACAACGTCGTTATTTTAACTATGTGCATCACCTTGAATATATTTTCATTCTTCCTGCAACATTACCATCAATGGAACTTACTTCTTCAATAATGTTCTTTATCACTTTTTAAATGAATACTTATGCAGTTCTGAACTAGCTAAAGCCCGCTGCTTCGACTGCGTGAAATTCAGTGTATAAGATTTCTGATTTGTTCGTTTCAGCCAAACGACGTCCACTGCTGGACAAAGGCCTCCCCCAAGGATTTCCGTAATGACCGGTCCAGCGCTGCACGCATCCAGGTTCTTCCCGCGACATTCACCAGATCGTCGGTTGACCTAGTGGGAAGCCTGCCCACACTTGAGAACTTTCCTGCTCTAACAGCTCTACGCCCCGCCCAGTGTCACTTGATTTAAAAAATTCTGCGGGCTGTCGGTTTTGGTTTTCCTGCGGATCTCCTCATTTCTGATTCGATTTGAGGTTCCAGGTTCATAGACTAAACTGACCCTATTTTATAGCCAAGTAGTTATTGTGTCCAAGCTCCCATCTCTACCAAAACTCATAGTTTGTTAATTTAGGCCTAAAAACGTATCAGACAGACTGATTTTTTTGCTTTTTATATGAGTAGTAGCTTTCCACCCGCGGCTTCGCCCGCGTGGAATTTTGTCTGTCACAGAAAAACTTTATCGCGCGCGTCCCTGTTTCAAAAACCGGGATAAAAACTATCTTATGTCCTTTCCCGGAACTCAAACTATCTCTATGCCAAATTTCATCAAAATCGGTTCAGTGGTTTAGGCGTGAAAGAGAGACAGACAGACAGACAGAGTTACTTTCGCATTTATAATATTACTATAGATAGTATAGATACTTAGTAAAGAGGATACATACTTGATAAGTGGTGTTCTTTATCATTTTTGTATACCTCATGGTGAATCATTAAAATTCCTACATATTGAGTAGTTGAGTAGCTTTTTCTATAGAAATTTGCTATCGGCACGTAAGTATGTTTAATCCTGACTGTGTGATGATTTTATACAGGTGCCTTATGAATGTTGTTGCATTTTTAAAGATTGTAATTTTAAATAATTTCACCACTAAAAACAAGCGTCATGAAATTTTTTTAATGGTCAATGAGTATCTAATAACATGAATGAGATAATAAAATAACCCACTCGGCGCAAGGGACTGGTGGTTGGTTATACTACCTGTCTCTGACCCAAAAGTCTCATGTTCAATTTCCAGTGAGGGCAAAATTATATTACTCTATATTGAGGTACTACATAAATAAAGTCGATGGCAAACCACCTCTGTGGTCTAGCGATATAACCACCTGTGACTTATCCCAGACCTAAAGGTCTCGGATTCAAATCCTATTTTCTGCTGTTTCATTGGTGCTAGAGCTTGTTCTAAGTCCACTGGCTAGCACCACCGTCTTACCTAAGTCTGTCGCAACAATTTTGTTGCTATAACAATGTCAACAGCATTAGAGGTTATCACAGGCTGTTATGAACCTAAATATTAAAACTTGGCCTTGCCTAAGATCATTATTGCCTAAGAACTGTCCTAAACGTTCACCTACCATATTACATGTTTCAACGTAAGTTAATACTTATTAACCACCTACAGAAACAAAATCCAATACACAATTACCTGTCCACACAGAACTAATTCGTAATAGACCGAAATTAAGTCCTAATCAAACTTAACTAGGTCAATTAGTAACTACTGCGGTTACACAATTGAGTCCCTTTGTTATCTAGATAATTGTTATCGCCGTGTAAACAAATGAAAACTGTAAATAATGACATCAACACTAAAACAAAGCTTAGTCATTTTAGGGCTGGTAAAATTCAAACTCTTTATTGTACACTAGCTGTGCCCGCGACCTCGTACGCGTGAAAATAGTTTGAATATTTTTTCCCGTTTTTGTTACATTTTTTTTACTGCTCCGCCCCTATTGGCTGTAGGGTGATGGTGTATGTCTAAAGCCTTCCTCGATAAATGGGCTATCCAACACAAAAATATTTTTTCAAATGGGACCAGTACCTTAGATTAACGAATTCATGAATACAAACAAACTCCTTAGCTTTATTATATTAGTACTAGCTTTTGCCCGCGGCTTCACTCTCGTGAAATTTCATTTGTCACAGGTCGTCATAAATTATAGCCTATATGTTATTCTGGGTTATAAACAATAATACTGTAAAGTTTCAACAAAATCCGTTCAGTACTTTTTGCGTGAAAGAGTAACAAACATCTAGACATCCAAACTTTCGCATTTATACTATTATTAGTAGGATAGAAGGATAGAAGTATACAAGTAGATAATTATGCTATTTTCAGGGCACTTAAACACATCCAAACATAGCTTGCCCTATCACCACTTCGGGGCAATAAAACCAGAAAAGCCACAGACATTATTATTCATCATCATCATTCATCTCACTCTCCCTTTATGAAACAAAAGTCGCGGCTTTTTCTTACAAATAAGAAATCATTAAAACTAATGTGCCGTGAAATCAATCAATTGCTGCTGAAATAACTCTTAATATTTTCGATAAACACAACATTTTCTTTAAAATATTACATCCTGGATTTTCCGAAACTTCAAACACGTTTTGAAATGTACAAAAATAGATTTTGCAATAGATATTTTAACAAATAAGTCAAATTTTACAAATTTGACAAATACCTTAGGCACTGACTGAGTTAGATGCTAAACCTATAATTGGATTATTATTAACTAGCTTTTGCCCGCGGCTTCACCCTCGGGAAATTTCGTTTGTCACAGATCGTCATAAATTATAGCCTATGTATATGTTATTCTGGGTTATAAATACTATTCTGTAAAGTTTCATCAAAAGCCGTTCAGTAGTTTTTGCGTGAAAAAGTCACAAACATCCAGACATCCACACAAACTTTCGCATTTATAATATGTATTAGTAAGATGTTGCAACCCTACTCATAATCTTAGACAATCTCACAAACATGCTTTAATTTTTTTTCAGGTCTCTCACTCACCGCAAGACGAACGAACGGCGATCAAGTGAATGAAGTGAAGTGCGATAAAAGTCGAAAAAGTGATAAGTGCTGTGTGAAGTGAAGTGAAGTGACTAGAAGTGGAACGTGTATGATGTGTTCAGAGTATGGATGAGACCAAAACCATACACAAGACCTGCGTGAGGGTCAACTCGGCTGATGATGACGAGTCGAGGGACGAGGTCGACCATGACTTACCAAAGAAGAATCCTTTTGTGCGGGTAAGTCTGACTTCTACTACTTCTATCCTGTGATTTAGGGTCTACTCCCCACCTTTCGTTCCCCCCGCTGCAACTCCGTTGTAGTCAGGATCTAAAGCTTGATTGTTAATACATAAAAACAAAACAAATGAAGGTCAAAATAAATGTGCTTCACGGAGCAAAGTATAATACACAAAAAACGGCGAAGTGAAGTAATTTGGGAGTTAACTGTCACAAATCAAATCAAATCATAATATTTTGCCTATATGCCACTATAGCATGATACTTCTAGGGGGCAGCTGGCATAACATAATCAGGATGAGCCTGATTTCTAAAACTTTCCAACCATTGCATCAGGTTGAATCATCAAACTTGCAATGTCCTTAATTCACACATCGTAGAGAGTTCACTAAATCGTCCCACAAACCCATGCTCATGACATAAAACGAGTTTGAGAAAATCAATTTGCGACTCGTCCCCTCTTAAATCCCATCTGGACATCAAATCTAGAATTTTTGAGTCGACAAAGTATTTCCCAACCACTTGTCGCTATCGTATGAGTCGCTTCATTTATTAACCATGAGATAAAACACACGTGTGGTGTGTAAAATAATTGCGTTTACGTGCGAATATACTCGTATCTTTTGCGTATCAGTTAATTCATGTTGCACTATAAAGTGAATCATCACTTCTATGTACCTATACGACTTTGGGAGAGATTCCGTTTTTTGCAGGAACTGTTTTTTGAAGGATCTCGTTTTAGTGTTAATGATAGATCGCCCGGAGTCCTGCCAGCAGGACTTAAAGTACTTCCGGTAGGACGCAAAATTAAAAGATCACAGTTTCGTAAGTATACATTGTACAAATTTCAAATTTACACGAAAAAATAGAGTGTTTCTCTCTCTTTCACCCAATAGTGCCCAAGATCGAAAAACGCGACTAACCGTTAGTCGGAGCCCGATGGCGCACGAGTATACACGGGGGCAGCGCGTTCGCGCTCGCGCGACACATTTTGACGCGCCGGGCCTGGAGTCGGCAACATTTTGGCGATAATATTATAATGAATGTGAAGTATTCCAGCCTAATCAAACATTTATAATTTATTTCTTGTTTTTGTTTTTAATTTGTAGTGTATTTGTAAGTGATAGGTGTAATTTCTAATACAAAGTGACATACCAAAGTAATTAATTTAAAGTTCCTTATTATAGTTCCTATTAGTTAAGTTGAAAGAAGATAAACAAGTTTATAATATATTAAGAAAAGTAAAATACTGGTTAAACAAAATGATTCTACGACATGACTTTTTATTTAATAAACACTAACCAAGTGTTTACTACTTCTGGTGAGGATGAGTTCAAATTTGAAGGTCACCGTACTGCTGGAAGGACCAGCAAGCAAACACGTACAAATTGCGTACTGCGGGCAGGACTTGCGATAATCTTCTGGCAGGACGTTTAGAACAAAAGACCAGTCCTTCCAGAAGAGCCTTCCAGCAGGACAAAGCACCGGGCGATCTTTTATTAACACGTTGAGTGCGAAACCAGGTCTATAGACCTTGTGTACGTCTCGCTTACCGTGCGGCTAAGAAAATTATAGTCTTCCTTGTCGTGCGAAAGGCATAACTTCAAATGGGTCCGGTGTAGAAAAGTGATGAATATATATCTATGATGTATTCTTAAAATAGAATCCAATGATGTACCTACCTTAATACCAGGTTTTTAGACCTGGTACCGCACGGAAGTAATAAAATGTCTTCACAATGCGAAACCAGGTCGAAGCATCTTGTACCCTGCGCACCTGGTACCGCACCCCACGCTAGCTTCGTGCAGCCAGTGTTGCCTCACATTCGTAAGAAACGCACATGTCGACATGGCGTCAAGAGAAACAAACAAAATCAAAACTTCAAATTGATTATAATTTAATCTGCTACACGATTTATTGCTAATTTAAATCATGTTTTTCGTGACAAACATTTGAAGTTGTAACTAAACGTTATTAAATAATATGTTTTCTTTAAATATAGCTTATTTAAGTATTTATGCACGTATGTCTTATTTGTAAAATATTTAGACTAAATTATTAAAACATCTTTGTTTGTTATTTTTTTTAATTTTTATTAAAACTTAATTTAAACTATCGATATTTGTATTTCACATCCCTAGAATATCCACCAGACTTCCCTACTTCAGTGCGGCACAGGGTGCATAAGCCTTGTATTTTGAATATAGCTATAATTTTTATACTAAACAAGTTATTCACGAACGCCTTCAGGTGTATGTCAATAAATGCATTATTATTAATATTCAAAGAAAAAAAAACACAATATCTATTAACAGTAAGCCAAAAATAAAATTAATGTATCATAAATATTACAAGGTCTTTAAGCCTTGTGCCGCCACAATGTAAGTTTTAATACCAGGTTTAATGACCTTGTACCGAAGGAATGGAAAGTATTAGAAAGTTACTGCCGCAGCAAAGGTGTTAATACGTCCTTCATTACTGGATTCTGCAAATCTGGATGCCATGGGAATGGTCCCTCACGGTACTGTATTTCGGTAATGGGTACCATAGGCGTAAGGCAGTTCCTCTGTGGTTGAGGATTCCGGGTAAAGCTCGCTTTCACCTTCAGGTCTGATCATCACATTCCATCCGGTGGTTTGCAGGCCCAAAAACCCTGTTGTGGTAAAAAAATATTTATGCAGTGACGTATGTCGGGTGTGTGTCGAAAAAACTTCCGAATCAGGTCCAATTCTCTTAAAAATAATAGGTAAAATTAACAAAAAATGAAATAACAACTCATTGCATAATTCATATTTTATAATCATTATCTCAGAATAAAGAACAAACCAGAAGGAGTGTTCGATAACATTTCTACGCGGCAACTTGTGTCCAAAATACTTCCCCTCCCGCGCCCCTCTACCCCCTTTAGTGTTACTAGCGCCGTGTGACACCCCCATTTTTGGGGTAAAATTATGTAATTTTTTAAAGAGATGTTAAACAAGTAAAAAATAAGTAAGTGAAATAAGTACACACGGCCACAGTGTTAACTATCCATTTCCGTTTTTGCTCTCGCTCTCATCAAATGGTGATTCTTTGCGATAGAACGAGACGACATGACTGGCCATAGGCATAGATAGTACCTACCTACCTAAGAATTTAATTTTTACTCCGAAGTAACTAAGTGTAGATGATTATTTATTTCTATTAAATAGTGTAATATACTACATGTAGGTAGGTATAATATGTTATTTAAAAGTCAATTACAAAAGACGAATATAAATTTAAGAATGCCAAGTAAAACAAAAAAGAAACTTAAGGTTCTTTATTATGTAAACATATCGACAACAAAACATTTGTTTACGGCGCAGTAGTGCTTTTAGTTTAACTTTTCTTGGAGTCAAAAACAGAATCCAAATCAAAAACATCACCAATACTTAAATTTGATTGCGAGGCAACTCTGGCTGTGTATCCTGAAAGAAAATCAGAGTAAGTATGTAAGCAATAATTAATTACTTAAAATTATTATTAAATATACAAATATTGCTGCTGCTGATCTGTTGATACCAATGCCTTACTTTTGAATAAATGGGAAAGTATGAAATTCACGATAGTAATTTATTATCTCCTCATTATTAGGGAGTAATATTATAAATTAATTCAATATATTAAAATCAAATCAAAATCAAAAATATTTATTCAGTTTAGACCACAAGTGGCACTTATAATTTAATTAATCAGGTTGTCATGTCATGGATGAAATTACACTAAAAACTAATTAAAACAAAAAGGATGGGGAAAATATTCCATTATTCTGTGGTAACGCTAACAAAATTAACGCGTGAATTTTTTATAGACAAATGTAATTCAATATAAAAAAGTAGGGTAAAATATTCCGTTGACCTGTGGCAACACTTACAAAATACAACCGTGATTTTTTTTGAAAATCATTATTTAATTAAAATGAATTGTAAATGTGCTACTTACGGATAAAACATGATCCCATGCACTTTCTTTGTAATTCCAGTAGCATTCTTACATGTTGGAACGGCACAAGACGGCATAATTTAATTATAAAGTGTCAATCTGACGGATATGTAAACAATGCGCGCGCCGGCCATTGACTAATTGCTCTAAAGTCAAATTAGTGCGATTCGGAGTAATTTATATGAATACACATTTACGCCCGTTGACGGTTTCTGGTTTGTTCCGTATTCTGAGATCATTATGTAATTTCTACTTGTAATTAATATTGTGCCTAACTAACCGAACGAAACGTTTAAATCTATTAATGATATAATTATCGTTTAGTGTAAAAATATTTTCATAATGATTTTTAATTGCAAATATCGCAATATTTCAAGCAAAACGTCCGTCGGGTACAGTACCCTAAATAGTTTTGACAGCTCATATTTTAATTTAAAAAAATCTTTTGTAAATTGGACGCTACTATGCAGATGGTACGATATTATAACCTAGGTACATAATTACTTATATTTTATTATGTTCGTCTCCCTTCTTCACATAAAAATACTGGCAGGAGTAAAACAAACGAAGAGAACCGTTAAATCGATTCGCGAAGTAGATCTGATTTGGTTGGTGGTAGGGCTTGTTCTAAGTCCGCCTGGCTAGCTACCACCATCTTACCTAAGTCTGTCGCCATAACAACAATGTTCACAGCATTATTGTGTTCCGGCAGTGAGAGGTAGGATAGCCAGTTCCTCCGTGGTTGGGGATTCCGGGTGAAGCTCGCTTCCACCTTCGGCCTGATCGTCACTTACCATCAGGTGAGATACAGGCCAAGAGCTTCCTCGTTGTGGATAAAAAAAAAAAAAAAGATCGTAATCGAAAACGTAACATTGGCGACAGTCGCCCCAAATATTTTTTGTCGATACAGCGGAGCAGACAATCGAACTGTACCAACTAAGTACCTAGTGAGAATTGGCACGTAATTTTATGAACACTACAGATGCAGTTGCATTTTGTTTAGCAAAAAAAAATGTGACAACTTGTATTTAACATCT